TGTTCATGTTTGCAAAGGACTCCGAGAGCTTCCGATGAAAGCGGGTGGAGATTTGCCAAGTGTTTGCTAACATTAATGGTTAATTATTATGAATGCTGGCAGCCTACACACTCAGCCAGCATCGTTCTCTGAGCGAGATCCAGACCTGTAATGGAGTTGTTACATGCACAAGACAGGGAGAGACAGCTTCTCCCTCTGTTTTGTCCCGTTCTCCCAGCCAAAGTCCCATTCCAAAATCAGACAGCAGTGGCACTTTTCTGTCTCATAGTAACAACTAGTTACAAATCCAGAGCATTTGGCAGAGGAAGACCTAGCCATTTTCCTGTCTGCACTCATTTCTGTCTGCTGGTGCCCTTTTTGTCTGGCTGAACAGAATGGAAATTGTGGTCCAAAATGAGATGTGTCCTGAATGGGGCAGCACATGGGTGCCATGCTGTGCTGCACAGCAGGGACAGATCCAGAGTTGTCTGGAGAAGGGCACTGGGCATAATCCATGCCCAGGTTTGCCCTTCTTGCTGCTCAGGCTGGGTCAGTGAGCACCTGGCCATGCCGTGGCACTTCCCAACGCATGAGATGCTGCGCTGGGGGATCAGAGGAGAGGACACAGCAGTTCACACGTGGGTTTGGAGAGTCTCGTGGGTCTGGCAGGTCAGCTGAAGAAGAGCAAGCCTGGTCGGCGGCATCCTGCACTGCGTGCCCAAGTTTGCGACAGAATCTGCATCATGATGGAGAGGGTGAGACAGCAGCCAGCTGAGTGAGTCTAGCCCTGAGTGTGTGAGATTTGATTTGGCAGACGTAATTTGATGGCCAGTACCATCGCAGCAGTACCTCAGAAAGATGCCTTTATCTAATAGTAGCCATCCGGAAAATGAAATCAAATGAATAAAAGGCTCAAGGTCCATTTGGTCCTATGAACATGCCTAGCAATTGCCAAATTATGAAAATCCAGTAGATCTTCAGACTGCACCAGTACTGATCTATTTTTTATTTCTATGTTTGAATGTGCAGTCTGAATTTCTGAAGTTGAAAGCTGCATCGTTCCTATCTTTTGGCTACTGATACTATATTAGAATTATGACTGTGGAGTAATGTTTGCTCTAAAAGGTAACTTCAAGGTGCATTAGTCTCAGATAATTGACAGAGACCGAAGAAGTGATTTGGGAAGCGCTTATGCAGAACCAAAGATCTTAGTGAATTGTTACCTTAAATTAATGGTCTAGTGAGAAGCTGCTTGGAGTTGATCAGCTGGTGGTAGTATTAAATGAAGCCAGGCTTTAAAGTTATTAGCAAAATATCTGTGAGACAGCGCTGCTATGGATTTATACACTAGCATTGTGTCTTAAGGGACCCAAATCTGCAACGTGCTCCAAGTCCACAGGACTTCCCTGGCTTCGATGGGAGGAGAGAGCGCTCAGTATCTCTCAGGATTGGGCTCTTTAGCATACTGGAGCTCAGGTTAGGCCAGCATGGCTAACAGGCTTCACACCTTTAACTCCCTTCTTAATCCCCAGATGAAATGAAAGGTCTTCTCTCAATACTTAGTAAATCTCCAATTTTATTTCTCATTATTAAATCATGAAATTGGCCATAAATGTTTAAATTAAGCGAAAGGAAGAGAGATTTGTGAGAAAATTGAAGTCTCTTTGAGGAATTGAAGAATAATCTCCAAGGATGAAGGAAGTTGCGTTTGCCAAACGCAGAAGCAAAAGGATTAAAGAGCTACAGAAAAGAAGTAGAAAATTGCGTATGTTTCAAATCCTCTCCCCCGCCCTCTCCCTAAAACCTCTGGTGATTTAAATGTAGGGGAAATTATTCTGATAAGCAGCAGAGTCTACTAGATGCTCCTTCCTCTGCTGCTGCCATTATCTCCATGTGCGACCCAGAGAAATTCTGTGACTTTGATGGGTCCGTGTCCCCATGTGTGACAGTGACACTGCTTCCCTGGGCGCAGCAAGACCTGTCGAACATTATTAGAGTGGGTTGGGAATTAATTGGGTTTAGGAGCTTCACTCCGACTAGAATGAGGCCTGGGGATTTTGTGTGTGTGTTTGTGGTTTTTTTTTTTTATGAACATAGTGAGTAATTAACTGTTTGATTTTTTCAGACTGTGCTTGATTCTCTGTCTCAGGTAATTTTTCAAGAGTACATGCATTTTTTTTTTGCCTGAAAGATCTGCTCCAGATCACTTTGGAGTGAAAATAGGGGAGTCTGTGACACGTATTCTGAACATTAACAATGGTTCCCTTCTGGCGTCAGTATGTACAAACCTATGAACCTGCTCGAACCCTGGTAAGTGGCCCCCTTGACAGTGGGTGACATTTATTTGTGGCACATTAGAAGTGCAAGTAATGAGGAAAGGACTGTGACTGGAATTTTTTCAGATATTGAGGATGGTTTTGTTTGCTGAGGTTGATCAGGTCCAGCTCTAAAAGTATGAAAATAATGAACTTGGATTTGGGTTGCTCTGTCACCTAACATGGGCATGTCGCTGGGGTGAATGCCTCTTAAGTGGCACTTCTTCTGCATGCGTGAACTAGCTCCACCATTGCTGAGTACCACGGTTGGTATCCCCTGTGTGACCAGACAAGGAGGAAGCAAACAGAGAGGTGACTCTAGTTCCCATGGCCTGTTTAATCCTGGAGGAGGTGGCGGTGGGAAAGAGGGGAGCCTGCCAGGGAGAGGTCACCCGGGACGGCCAATGGCAGTAAAAGCTTTGGCAAGCGGATACTTCTCTGCCAGGGAGGAATAGACTGAGACCCATCAAATTTATTTCACTTGAACAATGAGACAGCCAACTCATGATAAGCGCTAGCCTGGCCTGAATTCAAACCAGCCCCTAGAGGTGAAAGACTATATTGTGTTAACAATTCCCTGACTTGTCCAGTCTCCGTTGAAATGGTCTATAATGTAGGCCAGGGGATACACTGGTTGCTTTCCCACACTTGCAGCACTGACCCAGCGCAGGTTAACACGGGCATCTGTTACATCCAGTTGATCTGTAACTATAGAAAGCAGCAACTTAAATGTATTTCAAATCAAAATGTAGCCTGCTGGTGCCAGTTACCAGCTGAAGTATGCTCTGTCTGCCTTCTAGCAACTAAATAGCACAGGTAAGTTGTGTAAAAAAACATGAGGATTGTTAGCAAGTGTAGCCTCTGAATGCAATGGAGTTCTTTATCTCACTGAAACAGATATGAGAAGTAGGGGGGGAAGGCAAACCAAACGGAGACAAAGCTCTTTCCAGAATGTATTAAAAGAACCAAATAAGCCATTCAGAGCATGCAGGTAGATTTTTTTTTTTTACAGAGCGTTAGCAAGGCAATGTTCATGTGTGCTGGCCCACACAGGAACAAAATAAAACCAATGTTGTGTCAACAGGGTAATAAGAAAGAACACCAAAGTGTTTTTCTCTCTGTGAAATGGAAATCAGGCCCCTGAAAGCCATGAGTACATTTCAGCGCTGACAGCTTGGGCTGCCAGTGCTCTACTGTAAGGAGTCCAGGGGTGGTAGGGTGGCACACAGCAGAATTACAAGGAGATAGTGCATGTGATTTGACCATGCCACCTGAAAACCCTGAACCCTTTGACATAGCGGCAATGCTAGAATTTGCCCCAGGATGTACAGCAGTAATGTGAATCTTTCACAGTTCTGCACCAGGCAAGGTTGGGAAGTCAGTCAGTCTTTCTCCACCGGTGTCATGAAGATACATACCCAATGCTTTATTTAAAAAGCTGCTGTGTGTGAGCCATGTCCCAGCACCAAGGAGAAGCAGGGAATGGGAGACAGGGCGGCTGAATTTTAGGAGTGGTAACAGTCTGGGGCACCTCTGATTCAGCCTAACACAGCTTTTAACTTTGCAGTTGGACCTTAGGTAACGTGCTGATGGCCCTAACACTGCCAGTGGTCTGCCCGAGGCTTGCTTTGTTTCTTGGGATGGATGTTTTCTGCTGAGAGATCCTTAGTCAAACTGGTTTAGCTCTGGGCATCCCAGAATTGCTTCCTTGGCCTAGCATGAGTTGTCTGTCCCCCACTTTAGTCTCCTGACTGTAAACCTGTGGGTACAAGCCTATGCTGTCAGTCCAAACTGAGGCGGGAAATACATGGCAGAGCAGGAGTTAAACAAGTCTCTCACCGCCTGGGCTGATGCTGAACACATTTTCTCGTCCTCCATCTGAGTAGCACCCACAATGCTGCCATTGTATTCTGCTGCCTCAGCGGAGCGTGCATAAACTGGGGTGTGTAAGTAACAGGATAAAGTTGTCCCGATGATGTTACAGGCTCAGGAGAACGTGTGGATATGCTGCAGCTATTCGGCCATGACTAATGCAGCTCTCCTCCAAACTTCCCTACCTGCGGCAGGAACGAGAGGCCACGTTTCAGGCAGTTTCTGATTCTTATCATGTAATCCCGGCAAGGACGGAGATGGGGAACCGGGCAGGCTCGTTGCTAGGCAGATTTGTCTGACACGGTCTCACTCCCTGTGATGATTGATCATCCTTCTTTCCGAGGTTGTGACCAGCCACCGCAGAAAAGATGGTACCACCACCGAGCCGGTGAAAACGGGAGAGAAACGGGCAAACTGGTAAAGAACAGCCGGGCACTGCCAGCAAAGGGGCGCAGCTGCCGGACAGGGGGATGCACCCACGTTACAAGTCAAGAATGCGCAACGTTTACCGATTTGCAATGTTTTTATGTACTGTTGTGTAGCCAGGCCTTCCCCTCCTGCCCCTCCAGCGGGGGGGGTGGTCTGGGGCGCCGGGCCGGCCTGGGGAGGCCCCAGAGCTCGACCCCGGGGCTGCGGGCATCTTCGCGTCACCTGTCTCTCTCCCCCCTGTCTGACGTCACTGCTGAGGTTAGGTGACGTCAGAGGACACCGCCCCGCGGGGGGGGGGCCGGGGAGGGGACCGCGACGGGGGGGCGGGGCGCGGCGCTTGCCGGGCCGGCGTCGTCTCCGTGGCAACCGGGGCCGCCTCCGCCGGCCGGGCCCCCTCCACGTGACCGGGCCCCGGTCACGTGATGTTTGGCTGCCGCGGAGCTGCTTCCGGGTCAATGCAGGACGCGGCCGCCGGGCTTGGGTGAGCGGGGCCGGGGGCGGGCGGGGACGCGGCTGTCAGCGGCCGGCAGTCCGTCAGTCAGTCCGTCCGTCCGTCCGTCAGTCACCGGCCTGCCGTGCGGCGGTCGCGGCGTGGTGCCGGAGCGGGGGAGGCCGCTGTCACCCCGGGGACCACCAGCCGGGGTCCGGCCCGGCCGGGCCGTGTGAGGGGAGCCGGGGACAGCTGAACGTTTGTGTTGGAGGCGGCCGGGCCCGGGGGAAGGCCTCGGGGGGTTCGGGGCTGGGGACCCCGACCTGTCGTACCCCGCCGTGGGGCCCAGCGACCCGGCCGGGGACCGACGGACGGGCTCCCCACCGACTTCTGCGGCAGAGTTGGTTTTTCCAGCAGCGCCTGAGGGCATCGCTGGTTCGGTAGCGTCGTGTCAGAGTCCGGGCCAGAAGCACGTCCAGTGACATGCCTGGCATCTCTCGTGCCGTTTCTGCTCTCCTCGCCACAGTCCCTGCCGTTAGCACTGGCAGCTTCCAGAAGCGTGGTGTGGTGACGGGTGAGCAAATAGTGATGCTTGCTTTGATGAAGTCCCTGACAGCGTTTTGCACGCTTGGCTGGCTTGCCCTGGTGGCTCAGAAGGTCAGTCTGTCTACCCTGAGAGTATTCATTCATCTGTCTCTCAAGACCTCTTAAAAAATAATTTCCCCGAGTCGTGTCTTAGCAGAAGAACATACCGGCTTCTTTTAGGCAGGCATTTGTTCTGTTGCATCCATTCCTTATGCTTTGTTTTTCATGTATACAAACATGTCAAAATGCGTTTGGTGCGTGGCTGGTTAGGACCTGCTCCGAAGGCACTCGAGCGGCACTGGAATTTGTTAGAATGTCGTTAATGATGTAATTCTCCTGCAGGGTCTCTTATTCTCCTCATAGGCTTACAGCACAGGAATAGAAATATTTTTCATGTCGTTTCTAGTGCTATCCTTTCGCTTCACTCATCAGCTGCAGCAGTCCGCTGGGCTTCCCTTGGATCTCAAGTCAGGGTCATGCTCTTCTTTGCAGACACTTGCCATGTTGTATGTTACTGGGGCCACAGCCTTCCAGCAAAGCATTTAAACGTAAGACAGCAAAGACTGTTTGTTGATGTCTTTCAAAGTCTGAGCACATCTTTTGAAATCTATGCTGTCGTTTAGAAAACCCAGAGTTATTTTAGGATATGAATTGTTCCTTGGGCCATCAGTCGGAAAACACTCAGAAATGTGCGCCTTGCAAATCATCCCGTCCTGCCCTTGTGCAGACAACATTCACTTGAAATGTGTCATGCTTTCTTTGCACGTTCTGTTAATCCTTCCTCTCAAGCAATTGTAGTGATTCAGAGAAGCCACGTGCGTGACTGGTAATTATAGTGATTATGTGAAATGTGACAGGAAGGGAAGTGGAAAAGGTGACTGCCCACTCCCCGACACTTTTGTCATCTGGCAATGACATTGGCACGCAAAAGTAAAGCTTGAGAAAGAAAATGTTTGTGATTCAAAGTCGTTGAATGTAAATGTAATTAGTTTTTTTTCTTGGTTCTGGATTGCTCTCATACCGCAGCTGAAAACACAATTTTTTGCCTTTAGTGTGATGTTAAGGTCGCTTTTTCATATGGAATTTCCAGCTGTTGTTTGCTTAGTGGATAAAGAGGAATGGAGTTGATAGAAAAGCAATGTGAAGGGCAGAAAGCTTTATGCATGGTGGGAGTTCCAGAATTTCCAGACCAGGAGGTCTGAATGTGCATTTAGAAAGCAGTATCTGTCTGTCCTACAGTAGGGAGCTTCCAAACCACTCTGGAACAAGGTCTTTCAGCCTAAAGCCTTGGCTGTCAATGCAAATTGTTCCTGTAGCATGCAGAATGTTTTAGCATAAAATTAAGTGTCTTATTTCTAACACAGACTTCAATTTGAGGATTTTTTTTTTTCTATTCTAGATAGACTAGTGACATGAAGTTAAGCTTGAGATATGAGTCAACCAAGGTGTTGAGGGCTGAAAAAGGTGTGGGTTTGTTTTTTTTTTTTTTTTAAAGTAAGGTCAATCCTTTAAGTCTCTGCTTGTGACATGTGAACTTTAAATATAACATAAAAATTGTAACAGGCTTCAGTCAACTTGCTTCTTATTATACTGAAGTCCTTTGTTACAGGGGTGTTTTAGGTAGTCTGTTCATGAAGAAGTAAAGTAGAGCTTGTTAAACAGGTGATTCTTAGCAAAGGGAACCTGAGCCTTAGTTAAATCACTTTTATTCAGGATTTTATATCTAGCCTTGCCCTTAATGAATCTAAAGGAAAGTTTATGGCAGCAGGCAGAGTCTTTAATTTGGCATTGGTTAGCAACGTCGCTTTCAACATGTGTGGCCCCACCATGAACTCAAAAGTATGGTTTTCCACCAGGAGGTGCAGGTTTATGTGCAGAATGTACATATCTGTGTGAGCTGGGTTTTGCTAGTATACTAGAAATGTAATTATGCAGCACTTGGTAAAAACGCTGCTCCACGACTATGCTGTAGGAAATCTGTAGCTGATTCCTGCAAGTTCATGACTTGTGTTGTTAGAATGGGTGGATGTGGATCTCTCCTCTGTGTCCGTGATGGGTAGCAGGCCCTGCTTTGGACTACGAGGCCTCTGTGAAACCTGGGAACAGTGTGGTTCCCTTTCTTTGTGCATGTATCAAGCTCAACTCCTTTATTATCCATGAAACCATAAAAGACCAAGTTCAGAGTATGTGCAGGAAAGTAGGACAGATAAGCTTGCTTCTACCTAGGGTACGGCAGAATGCTGGCCATCGTGGTATCTTTGTGCCAAGTATACTTCCAGCTGACACTCGATATCTTTGTAGGCAGGTCAGCAGCCCATGGTGTGGGGAGTCCTTTTTCCTGTGCTGTTCCACTCTGTGACATGCGTAGATAGGAAGGGCACGTTTATCTTCCAGATACATTAAACAGCTGCAAAATTGAATTGGCAAAACTTGCTTTTTGGACTGGCCTAATGACGTGCTCATACGTGCTCAAGAGTGTTTCATGACACAGCAGTTGTGTTCTAATTAGAAGCCCAGGTTTGCAGGCAGGACGGAAGAACTGTAGTTCTTTGCAGATGTCAGAGGAGAAATGATGACGCTCCTTTTGAGGCCAAAGCTTGCTTTGAATGAGCCACTGCTGTCAGTGAAGGCAAGAGCCTCGAGATATCCTGAGTGAGTTTACTATCAAAATCGAGTATTTCCATGACACCCTGTGGGTCAACTGATGGAAGTCTTGCTAGCAGAGGCTGTTGAGCTCCAGGCTGTTTACAGCATCGGCCTGATTTTACAAAGACAAACCATAACCTGCTTTGTATAGTGTTTCTTTAGAAACAGTTAGGGAGCTGTGGATCCTTTTTCTTTTTTTACTTTTTTCCCCACCCATAAAGCTGATCTTGACTGAAAGTCCTGAGTTACAGAAAAGGGAAGTTACACGATGAAAGCACCTGTTCAAGCAATCTCTTACTCATAAACAGCTCTTCGGTCTTTCCCCTCCTTGCTGCCCTGGAAATATGTTTGAGAATACCTGCGAATATCTCACAGTCCTCTTGCGAGGTACAGAAGTCACCTTTTGCAGCCTGGGGCATATTGGGAGTTGTCCTGTAAGAGCATGTGGAGCAAGGAGGTCTTGTACTTGGCCTGTAATGGTATGACTGAAAACATGTTTGTGTAGCTTGGGCCCTCTGTTTGGTTTTGGTTTCTGTTCAGGTAAAGTTTTACTGTAATGTTGAATTTGAAATATGACTTGCTAGACTAATCTGTAGTTCAGAAGTAAAACCCATGACCCATCTGGTCGCTTTCTGTCCTGTGTTCCCAAGGTCCACTACTGCAGGTTATTATTAGTTGCTGACTGTTTATATGCTCTGTTTTTTTCTGTGTTAACTAGAACTCCAAGAAGGGAGCATGGACCAGCCCAGTGGAAGGAGTTTCATGCAAGTTCTTTGTGAGAAATACAGCCCCGAGAACTTCCCGTATCGTCGTGGACCTGGTATGGGGGTGCATGTCCCAGCAACTCCACAGGGTTCACCTATGAAAGGTAGGCTTCTGGTCTTTCTGAGCATCTGTGGGTTCTGGGTGGGATCGGTTTCTTGGTTGTTCTTGCTTATGTTGAAAGAAGAGTCACCCTGAATTGACCAGAAAAAGAAACACCACGATGTGTTATAACATGTTTCTTACTGAAGAGCTGAGAGACTGGAATCTAACAGTTAAAGACAGAAAGTTGATGTAGTGACTGAACAGGTTGCTGTAAAAAACAAGTAAGTTGCTCTACAGCATAACAGAATCAGAATCCTGTTAATGAAAGGTGGAAATAAGGCCCTGTGCAGTGCTGAGTTTTGAGGGTTCAGCAGTCCCTGGAACTTATTTTCTTCAGACTAGCAACACTAACTATTTTATTATTGGCTGCAACAGCACATATTTTGGCAGAGATGGCTTAACAAATACATAACACTTGATCTAAATTCAAGGTTGGTCCAAGTGCTACTGGTGTCATGCAGTGCCATCAACTTGCATCAATGGATGCAGCTACAGGAGTCCAGTGTACACAGAGGTGGACCATATTTCAAGCCAAGCAATGAGTCGTTGAATCCCCAGCTAGGTTTCTTTTGTGACAAGCAACTCAAATGAATTTGTGGTTTACTTTGGCTCTCTTCTCAAGGCATCAAATGCTCTCTGACTGTGCTTATGCTGACCTAGTGGAGAAATCCTCTCTCTCCTTTGCTTCTGACCTTACTGCCTTGATAGAGTTTCAGACAGATGTGTGTGTGAAGCGCTGCGCTGCTCTTGTATGTCCTTGAGCCTCCTAGACTGCAGAATCTGTGTCACTATTTCCTGCTCTTTGAACTGGATCTACTTGACACCCTTAAGTCTTTCCTCGTGCTCTGACGTTAGCATTTGGTTCCTGGTTTGTACGGGTGAGCCTGAGATTCACATTTATTCCGCCAGAACTGCCCCTTCTTTGTGTAACCTCTTGCCCATCTTGATCTGTAAGAGTAGTTTAAATTTCCGTCAGGTCAATTTGTATCATAACCAGCCCCAGAGGCGAAAATAGCCACGGAAGTCAGCTGGATGAAGTGTACAGTAACTGAGTTTGACAGAGGAGAAAAAAGGGCCTGAGTTCAGTTGAGGATAAAATGTACCGCATGTCGTTCAAAATTGACACGAACAGAAAATTGGCCTGATGGAATATTCAGTCAATGCCCTCCCTCCTGTGTGCGAGCACCCACTTACCTGAGCTGTTTGGATGCTGAAAAGAAGGCACATTTGTAAGTCTTAAAACGTGACCGAGACATGACTTACAAGTACTTGTGACTAATTCCCAAAGTACAGCACTATCCTTCAAAGAAGCCGAACGCTAATGAGCCAGGAAACTTGAAAACTCAGGTCACTCCAGATAATTGTCTGCTTCTAGAATCCTCTTCTAGTCATGTAGCTGTCAAGTATTAAGGAGAGAGAAAAAGGGCCACCTTTTTAGGAAAAAGCTTGTTGTTAAATTTTAACAGATTTTGATAATCCATAGAGGTGGGAGAGCCATATTGTATGTGAAAGAGCATAAGAATGATGGCTTGCCTTGCCTACACATGGATTTCTTGTGTCGAAAAGGTTTCTTGTTACAAATCCACAGCTTTTAACTTTGTCATGTTTTGGCCTTAACAAATCAAGCTGTGACTGAGATCCAAGTCCTTGTATTTGAAATAGCTGTGAGAACGCTTACCTGCATGAGAAGGAACTAGAGCAAAACCGAAGCAGAAACGTAAAAGGCAGAGTAGAGACCTAAGTTCTTCCAGGCTGGAAGAATGCTATATGTTCTGCATTGTTGAAAAGGGAAAGCTTAGAAAAGAAAGGTTTAAATGCGTCCTTGCTGTTACTAACCCCAAGTGGGCTAAGTACAAGAGGATAAGGGAGTCTGACCCTGTGCAACAAACAGTCCACTTAGTCCTGTATCCTATCTGCAGCAGCAGATGCCTGGGGAAGAGCATAAGTTCTGGCAAGAACTGATGAGAGACATACTATAAACTACAAAGGACTGGCCCATCCTTGCTGCGATGTGGACAGAAATGCATGTAGTAATTGAAGAGCACTGATGCTGAATGGTACTTCATGTTTAGACACAAGAAGACTTCTTGACTGATGTCAGTCACTTGTCATAAAATCCATGTTTATCCTGAGATCCTTAAATATGTGTAAATTGTGGAATTACTGGTACATCTTTTCTTTTGCTGAATGTCAGTCATGTTTGTGCTTGGTTTTACTTTCTTTAACTAAGCAATGCAATGCTGATCAGAGGGCATCTTTTCTTTTTTCCTGTTTCAGATCGCCTCAACCTTCCGAGTGTGCTAGTACTGAACAGCTGTGGCATAACCTGTGCAGGGGATGAGAATGAAATCGCTGCCTTCTGTGCTCATGTGTCTGAGCTAGATCTTTCTGACAATAAACTGGAAGACTGGCATGAGGTAAAATGGTTACATGCGCATCTTTCTGAATAACTTTGATGGCTATTACTGTGACTGAAAACGCATTGCAGGTTGTAAGAGTACTTCGCTCACTTAAAGGAGAGAGATTTCAATTTTTTGTGGCTTCTTTCTCATCTGTGAAGCTGATGCTTATTTACTTTGACAACAACTGAGCAATAAATGTGATTAATTTAATCCATTTGGGCACTTCATTTACCTCGTGACTTACAGTCTTGGCCTGTGGGTGACAAATATACACAAATTATTTTTTTTATCGTGCAAAGCACCAGAACTGGCATTTCTAACATCAAGAGGTTAATGAGCAGTGCAGGTTTTAACAGAGTAAGACCTGAGGAGGTCCGAGTAATGGGAGTTGATTCCCATCTTTGCCACCGATTCTGTGATGCTGGGCAAGGTATTTTTTCTTTCTCCGCTTTTGTTTCCCTATCTGCAAAACAGGTTTAACACCATTTACCTCAAAGGATATTTCTGAGGCTTCATTAATTAATGCTAAATGCTATTGTAAAATCCTCTGAAGTGCTTGGATGAAATATGCTAGATAAATGCAGTGTAATACGAGTAAAACAATCGCAGTCTGTTCAAGAGTCATTAACAGTTTCTGACTGGCTTATGCTCTGCTTTTATGTTAGCGTTTATTGTTGGAAATACGTGGAAAAGAACAGGATGCGCAACATAGAAATTATCGTGTATTCCTGTTGCATCAAACTCCTATGTCTTTAAAAAGGTAGCAAATGCAGCATTTGCAGAAACATCCCAGCTCTGGCACGGGGGTCGCAAAGTCCGAAGTGGGATAGGTTTCCCTGTTCCTGTTATTTTCTTGTTAGCCTGGAAGGTATTAGCTCAGCGGGTGGGAGAGAGATCTTCGGTTTGTCTGTTGAGATTAGAGCCAGGGAAGATGGTTTTGTACTGAGGGCGTATCTGCTAAGAACTGGGGTGGTGTCTCCTAACTTGTTTTATTCTGACCCCAAAAGGCCCTCTCTGACAGTAATGAGGTGCTGCCTCTCCACTCCCTGTTCTGCCTCTTACTCTCAGTGGGGCTGGCCTTGCGTTGGGTAAGCAGCTGGGAGAGCTGTCACTTGCAAGCTGCATGCCTCGCACCCTGCTATTTGTTCAGTCTGTTTAGGCTACCCTGGACAGCACAATTTGCCAGCTTCTGCATGAGCTGCAGTAAAGCAGGAAATGAAAGGCTTTCTGTGTACTTTGGCCCCTCTGAGACAGGATTAAGTTTTCGTAGCCCATCCACAACAGATAAATATCTACTCAACTCTTAAAAACTGCCAGTGATGGGGATTCCAGATCCCTGGGTAGCTTGTTCCCATGCTTAGCTAATAACCTGATAGTCTAAGCTATGTAACTTAAGTCTCCCGTGCTGCAATTTAAGCCAATTGCTCCCTGCCCTGTTCTCAGCAGGCATGGAGGAGCATTCATCGCCATTCCTTATACGACAGTGTTTTGTACCCACGAAGAAGAGCTTTCACCTCTCCTTTTCCCATTTTAGTACAATACTGAAAAAAACAGTTCTTCCAATCATTCATCGTAGGCCATTTTTTCTAAATCCCGTGTTGGTTTTGTTGCTCTGATGTCATTCCAGTTTGTCTAATTCATTCCAAACACGTAGTGCCCAAAATGTGACATCACCTAAGATGAGGTGCAAAGTGAGGCAGACTAATTACCTTCAGCATCACGTGTGCAACACTTGAATTCAACCTCCACATGAGACAATTGCCCTTTGCTGGGAACTGGGCCCTGTTATTGACCTGTGTATGTCATGGTCTGCCCCATCTCCTCCCATCCCGTTTGCTTTGTGGAGTGGGGCTCTCTAGCCAGGTGTTCTCTGACTCGTAATTATTTTCTGGATGAATGTTTTTTTCCCAGAATGTTAGTACTTTGACTATCCTTGAACTGAACTTCTGTCTTACGGGTTCAGTTCCTCAGATGGCTTCGCTTTGGCCTCTAGTCTTGTACCACAATGTGATGGCAGCCTTTCCCACCTTACTATCACCCACAGATTAAGAAAACCACATAATGTTCAATTATCCTGGTCACTGAAAACATAACAAGTAGTATTCTGCTAGAACACTCCCTCTGTATGTCTGCTAGCTTTGTATTGAATTCTTAACTTACAGTGCTATCCCAGGCACTGTAAGTCCCCAGTTTGCCTATGCAACTTGTGTGCAGATGGCATCAGAAGCTGTCATTCTCTTATACTACTTCCCACTGAATCAGTTACACAGTTGAAGAGGAAAATTAGATCGATGTGATGTGTTCTTTACGAATTGATGCTGCCTGGCTGTTCTGTTCACTTAATCATTATTAGATGACTACAAATTGATCATCTAAATAACTTGTTCACCTATCTTTGTGCATATTAGCAGTATCTAGGTCAGCACCTACCTCGATCACACTATCCATTATGTATCCTGCATTCCAGAGCATACAGTCGTCATCTCTGGCTTTTCTTTCCCTTTCTTGATCTTTCTTCCTCATCTCTCCGCTACTTTGCCCTTAGCTGCACATCTGTACACACAAAAAGAGAAAGTAGCCCCAAGCAGAGTTACCCGAACATTTGGATTCATTGTAAGAAAGCTGCTGTTTTCAGAGTAATGGAATCAAATAAGAACTTAGTTGTATGCATACGGTGAGCTTCTATCTGTCTTTTATGTTGGGCAAAATGGCAAGGTCTGTGGCTAGCGGGGAGCAGTGGAAAGCTGAGCAAGTGATCAGTGTTGGCCATAAACTCAAGAGACGTGCCCGTTGCCTCCCTGCTAAAAGGGGGTACAGCGTGCTGGCTCCTGTAACGTGCTGCTGCTTAAGCTTGGTGTTGAGGTGGATTTTATGACCTCTCCCAAGAGACTGGCTTTCTCTTATCAAGCTGCTTGGAGAGTGTAATTAAGTGAACTGTTGAGGTGAATGAGCAATTAACCAGTCAATCTAGATCAGTGAATAGCTGGAGTATGAATTACAGATAGTTATCCAGAAGCCTTATTTTTTTCCCCATATCATTTCTTTGGCTTGTGGTGATTCCGAAGGGCCCTCTTTTAGGAGATGGGATATTATTGCATGAGGTCCGATTACTGCCTGATACGCATTTCTTTCTTTCTCTTTTTTTTCCCTCCCCACTTAGGTCAGTAAAATTGTGTCCAACGTTCCCCACTTGGAGTTTCTAAACTTGAGTTCCAACCCTCTAAGTTTGTCCGTTTTAGAGAGAAGGTGTGCTGGGTCTTTCGCTGGTGTTCGCAAACTTGTGCTCAACAACAGCAAAGCTTCCTGGGAAACAGTCCACACAATCCTGCAGGAATTACCAGAGTAAGCATGGGGAGTTGGGCGTAGAAAGGGGTGCTCGCTGCACACAGGTCAAGGCTGGCTTATCAATTCACGTAGTGAGGGATGAGAGGGGTGTGAGGATGCAAACATGATCGGTAGAGAAAAAGGGAATTTTTTTCTTTGGGAGCTTGGGAACCGGCCAGGTGAATGCTTTACATTGTCTTAAAGGCTGAACTTGTGCGGTGCTGCAAAGCCCAGAGCTTCTCATCCAAATCTCAATACCAGAGATGGATAATCACCCTGACAATGTAGGAGGTGACACGCTTTCCTCTGAGTCACTACAGAATGAATGGTGCAGTGCATACCTGTACTAATAGCTTTTGAATGGGATGTAAGTCTGAGGGTCTGGCCACTTGACAAGTAATATTTCATCATGCTTTTCTGTACAAAAGTGTTGATTTCTGTGGCTTGGCCACGGTCCACCTTGGCAGTGGCATTCTGCTTCCACGAATGTCCTCGGTGGCTTCATTTTGATAACAGATTCCTCTTCATACAGCTTTGTAAGCAGAGATCATGACAGCAGTATAGCCTGCGTGGCCAATGTATGCTTCCCTGGGATTAGGAGAGCTAGTTTAGTTGTGTGAAAACTTGGTGGGACCTGTTCTTTCTTTAATGAGAATCTTTGGCAGAACCAGTGATGCCAGGAAAAAAGTGGCATTTGTGTTGTATAAAACCACCTTTTAAGTGGTGAGCATTGAGAGCAGGTACCCATCACCATTGGAGTTGGGTCGGTGGCTTGTTGGAACAGCACCCCGAACAATCTGTTACACAATTAATACTGGGAGGCTAGGGAAACACTTAGAGGTGTTTTTCATCTGTGGAGGAAGTTTATGGATGGGAGCAGAGACGTAGTCAAAACACTCCATTTGGAGTGCTCAAAGGTCTTCTCTACACCAAGGTTTCAAATCATGTAAGAGCCGTTACAGAAAGTTGTGTTAAAGTTGCATATGCATGTCCCTGTACCTGAGAGGGTAGCCATTTCTCAAGGTATGTTGAGATGATAAAACAAGCTTTCTCCCCTGTGCAGCTTGGAGGAGCTCTTCCTGTGCCTTAACGACTATGAAACAGTGTCTTGTTCTCCGGTTTGCTGTCAGTCTCTCAAATTACTCCACATAACTGACAATAATCTTCAAGACTGGACTGAAATTCGAAAATTGGGAATTATGTTTCCATCACTGGACACACTTATTCTGGCTAACAACAACCTCACGACCATTGAAGAGTCGGAAGATTCCCTAGCAAGGCTGTTCCCCAACCTGCGATCCATCAACTTGCACAAGTCAGGTGAGAGCCTGGAAGCAGTATGCTTTTTGTTCTCAGCGTAAGTGACAGCGGTTGATCGGAGTCTCTCCTCCTGAGTAGGTGAAAAAACACACTTGCCTTGTGCTTTTTGAAACTTTGGCCTTGGGGTGGTTGCTTCTTACGCCTGTGTTAGCAGTAAGTAGCCTGCAGTCAGCATTGCTTCCTGCAAAGTATGAGAGGGGGCAAGGGAAGGCAGAAATGCTGAGCAAGAGCCTAAACCTTTGGGATAGTTCTGTTGCTGTAGCAGAGATTAAAATGCTCAGTGACCTCTGTCCCAATCTATCCTGGCTTCTTGGCAGAATTGAAAAGCTGTTGATGGATGTAGTCCCAACAGACCTATCATGTTGAAGTCTAGTTTCCTAATGGTGCTAATGCAGGGCCACACAAGCAGGTGTACTGAAGTGCACTGACCTGAAGAATGTAGTGTTAGGAGGGGAAAACAGGCAAGAAATCAACTTGCCTGTCTGTGGGCTTTACTTGCTGCTTTTGGTAGTTAGTAGTTATCTAAAAGATGAATCACAGTAGCGTGGACTGGCAGTTATTCAAAATGAGCTGGCAAAGGTTTATACGTTAGTAGTTTCCCTCTGTTTCCTGTCCCTGCCTCAGGTGCTCCTGGCTGGAGAAGGATAAATAAATGTCTGGCAGTGGAGGGGATGAAAGAATCCCATTTTCCTTTTATTCGCTGTTTTATCTCAGGTAAAATAAGCGTATGTGTAGGTATGTGGCATGTAAGGGCCGAGCATTCACCAGCAAAAGCTGTCTGTCATCTGTGCTCGGAAGCTCACCACAAGTTATGCTCGAGGCTGCTTTTACACTTCAGCCCCAGAGAATTTTCAGCCAATGCTCCAGAAAGAGAATAAGCATTTGGCTTATTGGGAAGGGCACTCCACGCTCAGAGAGAAGGAGCTGCAGGGCAGCTCGTGAGGGCTGTGACGTGTTTGTGAGATAACATGTATGCCAGAAGTTCTTCTGCAGGAGTACTTAATTCATCATCGTCTTTTGTTCTTTACAGCTTTATATGCTGTGCAAGCAATAGTTAAATGTTAGCCAAGGTAGAAGGTACTTTATTAACATGCTCTTCAATGTCAGCATCAAGGAATCCCTATAATAAAAGCTTAAAGCTAACTAGAGGAAGAAAAGCCTGTTAAGCTGGATTTGAAAGTACTGTCTCACTGAGGAGCAAGTGCTCCTGTGGTAAGTAGTTTTGCAATTTTGATGCCAGGTACTTAAGAACTCTGGATTCTGTATTGCATTTTGATGTTTTGGGAGCTGAAAGTCAAATAGAAATCCCAAGGAGCATGTTAAACTCTTTTTTTTTTTTTTTTTTTTTTTTTTTTTTTTTTTTTTTTTTGCGGGGGCGAGGGGGAAAGCTGCTGCACTCCAAAATTCTGTCATGTGAAGACTCCAAACTAGTGCCTCCTTTTGCAGGCTCTTTTAGCTTAGCGGAGGTCAGGGGTGAGCTAAAGATAATGGTTTTTAGTGAAGTTGTAGCTCAATGGGGTCATGAAGGGATGAACGGATTTTCCTGCCAAGGCGGATGCCATGGCTGACAGCAGTTTCTCCTGCAGAGGTGGTTGTCTCTCTGCACTAGCTTTCTCCCAGCTACAAGAGCTTTTGGCGTGATCCAGAGAGGTACTGGGCACTCTTTGGTGATGCTGCGCCTCAGAGATCAGGTGGAAGAGTTCTCCTCCTGTCACACACTTCTACTCAATTTGTCTGTCAGTGTGTCTGATACTGATACCCAGAGGATGGCTTCAGGCATAGGTGACCTTGGCAGAGGTGTTTCAAGTGCTATGGGGAAAGGAAGCTCTCTCTGCCTGCCTCGCACACGGTGCCGTGATACTTACAGGAGTTTTGTTTCTGCTCTGAAAAGAGCCGCTTCTTCTGAGCTGTGGTTGTGACACACGGTTTGGGCTTGAACTTGACATTTCCTGAGAGGCTTAGCTCAAATGAGACCCCTGATTTTGTTTGAACCGATAATTTTTCTGTTTTTTCACATTTTCTGTACTGTGTGGGTGAAGCTGTTGAATGTTGTTCGGAGAAACCGGTTTTCTAACTCGTGTTGCTAGTGTAAGCTTCTGGAACAGTCATCGGAAAAGCATCGCAGTAAATGTTTCCGCAGCTGCAGCAAAGGGAAGCGAAGATGAGTAGTGTTGATCTCGCCACATAATCAGGGCTGTACTGTTGCTCAATCCTCAGCTTTTTTTATTTTACCCTCTCTGCTTGCCTTGTTATCCCAGATGTCAGGTCTTGAGGGGGATGAAATTAAGTTAAAGCCTTTTTCATTAAATGGCTGGATGGCTTCTGGGACTGTTTTACCGTTGGGTCATGGGTGGAAATGGGACCCAAGGTGGTCATGTGTGAGAGGTAAAGCCATTTGATGGCTATTTAGTGACGCCTAGAATGACAGAAGTCCTGACGACTTCAATACTACTTAAGGTAGCATCCCTTTATAGATGCAGCCATCATAACTGATGCTAGTCAGTCCTTGGCAGTGAGGCCAAAGACTGAATGGTCCATAAAAAACTAAGCTCCCCAATCAGCCATGAAGATCATCCTTCTAGACTTACAAAACAGCAAGAGAGAATTTAAACTACTCTGTCTTGTAAGCAAATGAAGGAGATTTTTTTTGCAGTGCATCATGAGCAAAAAGCCGACTTCTCAAAGAAACGGCAGCTAATGCTCGCCCTGTCATGTATGTTCTTTGGCTGTGTCTGATTATCTTGGATACATGATGTATTATCTGTGTTTGTTTAAGCAAGTCTTTTCTTCCAAGCAGGTCTGCATTGCTGGGAGGACATTGACAAGTTAAATTCTTTTCCCAAGCTCGAGGAAGTAAAATTGCTAGGAATCCCTTTGCTGCAGTCCTACACCACTGAGGAGCGCAGGAAGCTGCTAATAGCCAGGTCTGTTGCTTGTTTATTCTGCTCGGCAGAAGCGTTACATGGCAGTGAATGGCTGGAGCGGGTAATTGGAGGAAGAGGCTGTTAGGAGATAGGGTTTTGTATGAATTCAGCGCTTGGAAAGATTTGATTTTTTTGTTTTTATAGTGTGGGAAAGTGGGAGTAGTGGAAATCTTAAGTCTAACTTCTTTACTTCTCAGAGAATTTTTTGAGTCTCATACATGCCTGTACATGCGATGCATATATGTGGCAAAATGAAAATGCTTAATTTTGAATGTGCTTGGAGTAACTGCATGGGACTCGCCCCCTCTCTTGAGGGGACTGAAGCCTAAGCTACCTGGCAGGATTCTCCTGGTGTTAGTGTTGTGGCATGTAGCTTTTGATGGCGACTGTCTTTTTGGTCACCCTGTCTGGGTTTCTCTTCTTGCTGACTGTATTTCTTGGTGTCTGCATGCAGGTTGCCATCTATTGTCAAGCTCAATGGAAGCATCGTTGCCGATGGGGAGCGAGAGGACTCGGAGCGATTCTTCATCCGATATTACATGGAGTTCCCAGAGGAGGAAGTCCCATTCAGGTATGAACTCTTTGTTGTGGAATGGAGAGCAGGAGCAGATGGGCGGCGAGGCAAAAGAAAAGGTGACTGAACAGATGATGTTACATGGGAAATCCGAGCTAGTTGTTCCATGAAAAAAAACATCCCTCACCTTCCGCCTGTCTTGCCTTCCTCAATCGGTTTTAGTTAATGTTGTTACATTAGAGTGTTGTCTGATGACTTGTAGAGTCACTTCTGAGTCAAATTTGGTCTTAAAGTGTCCGTTTCAAGTGCCATTAAACAACATGACTGTTCAGTTCATGATCTTCATTGCTTCCTGGCCTCCCTGATGGCTAGCTTCATAATTCACCTGTGTTTGGGAGTCCCCAAAAGCCAGTACAGATCATGCTCTCTGGTGCCAGGCTGGGGCATCTAATTCTCTTGACCATCTGGAGTGTGGAATGTGACTGGCGATAGGAAGCTGTCCCCTTACTTTCAGGCCTGCAAATAGCAAGTCTGATGGTTTTTCTTTGCCAAAACAGTATGCCCAATGATCTGTTCATCTTGGTAAACTAATGAACTTTGACAGACGCTGTTCAGTCGGTATCTTCTCTGTGCCAGCATCTACTTACTGTTTCTTAATGGGCTGAGGAAGGGTTGTGGAGGATCAGGCCACAGCATTTACGTGCCTTTTTCCCTAGAACCCTCATACGCTATTCAGACAGCAAAGTTGTCATAGCCCTTTCTTTACAGAAAGGGGATAGGACAAGAGCATGTGGGTGTGTGTCCGGGGGGACAGACAGAGGTAGGGACAAACTGAGGTAGAGAAGAAGGTCAAAGGTTTGGCCCAGTACAGACAACAGAGGTGCGAACGGAATCTGATTGGTGTTTACGTTGGCTGGTCAGTGTTTCTGCCAGCTTAAGTCTTAGGTAAAATGTCTCTTGTTTTTCAAAAGCACTGTGTATGTGACCTGCCAATACAGGAAAGCTGGAATGGGGAATGAGGGCATGGCATTTTGTATGAATACTAATAGGTCTAGCGATTATAGTATAGGTGTATAATATATATAGGTGTACTGGGGTCAGTTCAGAGGTGAAGGGTACTAATGTAGTCAGGGAGATAAGACAGCTGGTGATCCCTCTTGTGCCTTTTTCTGAGGACAAGTCCTGGCTTGTAAATTTTAGGAGCCCTTGAAGCAGAAAAATGGAAAGAAATAATGGAAGGGATAGCAGCAGAGGTGGAGAACGTAGGGGAGAGGAAGGGGAAGGGGAGACAGGGACTGCGAGTTCATGGTGCTGCTCCCAAAATGGATTATTTTCTGTAACATTTTGTTTCTAAGAAAACTGTTTCATGTCTCTCTGTTTGTGGCTCTAGAAAGGGAGAATAGCAGGGCAGCTGAGCCCAACAGCTGCAGCAGAGTCCTGCCTTTTGGTAAACAGGGCTTGGGCTGACCTGGAAAACCAGTCAGGAGAAGGCAAGGCAGGCCCTTGCACTGAAGACAGTGTATTCGGTTGCAGTCTGGGAGGGGAACTAAGGTGCGAGGAGCCCTTTGATCCTGGTGGAACGGGTGTGCCACCCTGAGCTCAGGAGGAAGGGTTTGCGCATGAGACGGAAGGTAAATAAATAGCTGGTGGGCTCTGAATCTTTTCCTGCTGGACTTGTGTCTCTGGGTATTGTGGTGACAGATGCCTTGCATGTCCAGGACCCATATATTGTTGAGAAGGACACGGTGGGATATAGTTTTACACTTGCATGATGCTACTGTTAGGACATGGACTTTGGGAACAGGCTGTGTGCAACCATGTAGTTACACAGTACAACACACAACTGGGGTTGGTTTCCAGGTGGGAGCTCATGTAAGAAATTACTAATATCTCACCCATCCAAAAAGCTGGTCTGATCTTGACCAACGTGCTAGCTTTATGCTATTTTGGTAAGATACCAGAGAATTACCTCCCCCTCTGATTTCTTAACCTTTAAACACTGTGACTGCCCTTTTCGTGGTCAATGGGCTCTTTGTCTGAATCCCTTCATCTGTGCAGCGTTTCCAAGAGACTTTTGCAGCTACTAAAGAGGGTTGTTCTGTTCTGGAGGAGTTGTGTGCCGCTACAGACTATTTTCTAGCGAGGCTGCAGATGGCTGAGAGTGTCCCTAGTGCTGAGGGCTGGGTTTCAGTTCTTGGACCTGTATGCAGCAGCCCTTGTAGGAAGGGAGCCCTGGCATTCTTTACAGAGGGATTTTGTGTGTGTTTGTTGCTAAAGCTTCCTCTCCTTTGCTCCCAAATCTGGTGTGGTCTCTCCGAAGGTGGTTTGTAATTAGAATCTAATAAGGACACACGCATGTTGTTGCTGGGGCTATGGCATCTGCATTGCAGTGCTGCCTCAAGCTGAGGAAGAAGACACGCTTGGGCATGAAAAACTTAAGAGTGTAAGCAGCCCCCCTCAAGACTGTCGAGGTGTAGCGTGCGATAAGCGAACAGCACACTCTCTCACAGCAAACCCTCCTGCTTGAATTGCATGTCTTCTCGGGCTGCAGCTCAAAGGGATCAGAAAGGGAGGGAAACGGACAGAATAATTTCTCTCTTTGGATGTCGTGGGTTAGAAAGGAGTGCCAAGTGTGCAATCCAATATTGACCGTATTCTTGAGTGATGTCTGTGTGTCTCTAGGTTTTTAATGAGTCCTCTGCTTGTCTGGTCCGCTGTTTATCTGCAGAGTATCAGAGACACTTTTAGCCAGGCTCAGTTCTTCAGCATCCTCTGCTCTGGCAGCCATTGTTTGCCAGGCTGCAAGGGGTAATTATAAAAGTCTCTAGGGTGCCTGTTATCGGGGTACAAAAGAACCATATGAGCAGTGTGCCTTCATCCTTATTGATTTGAGGGAAGCCAGTCATTCAGACTCCTAACTTTCTTTGCAGGCTGCAGCTAGCATACAAGGAGCAGGCTGCAAAGCTTGTTCTGCTTTTCCTTTACATGAGAAAATTTAAGACAACATTGCTTGACCCTCCGCATATTTACACCATGCATTTGGGTAATCTTAGCCCACTCATGGTATTTCTGTCTCTCAGCTTGCTTGAAATTTGTCCCCCTCTTTGTACTCTTCCCACCATCAGCCCTGTTCACTGCAGTTTCCCTTAACGCGTGAATCCTGGCAGTACTTCTGGTCGGCACGGGAGAAATGGTTGCTGGACTGCGGCGGAAACTGTGCCGCAAAGAAATCCTCCCCACTGGCAACACACTGGCTAGTGCTCGCTCTTACTGCGGGCGGTAGCCTGGTGGGTGAAATATGGGGAGCACGTTGTCTTCTCTCAGCACTAATGGCTTTTCCAAATAAATAGGCCTGATCCTATCACCCAGGTGACTGTGAGAGCATGGCACCGGCCTGCCTTCAGATGCTCTGCCCTGGTGAAGGCTCATTTTGTCCATGACACTGGGGAAATCCTAGTGTGCTGTGGCCCTTACCTCATTTCCCGGTAGACAGAGTGTCTGCTGTTCTCCAGGAATGTTCCTGCCTTCAGCAGGACTCCCTGGGGTCACCCAGCCTGCCAGGTCCCATCATCTCTCGACAGGGGCTGTGACACGGCACTGATTGCATTCAGCTCAGACTCGGATCGGGAACAAAAAGAGCTTTCTGTACGGCGCATATTGGAGGGCCTCTGAAATGTTACCTTTTCTCGGCAGTTCTTCGTCTTTGTCATTTCAATCACATTGTGTTTTGTGTTGCTGTTTCGCCTCTTTCCCAGCCAGGCAGGGGAGATGCAGCCTTGCCCAACTGGAGCGATACCCGTTGAAGGTGGCAGGAGGTTGAGATGGGCTTTCCATTGCAGGGGATGGCTCCCCGCGACAGACCTTGTGAAGGACAGTCGGAGAACTTGGCTCCAAGGAGAAAGTGATGGTGGAGCATGTAGCTCTGCTAGTAAAATTCCCATGTTGTTTTAGAATAGGTGTGAAGGATCAGTTGGCAAGAAGTCCCCTGTTTGTTGTCAGCTTCCAAACCGTGCAGCAGCTCACCTTAATTCGGTGATCTTGATGATTCTGTGCTCAGTGTAGTGTAACATTTGGGACCTAGCTGGCCTCTAGGAAAACAGCAGGAATGTCTGGAGATCAGTCAGGCCATGAAGCCACAGATACTGGGAATCTAGACTGGGGGTCATGTCCTTTGTAGGAGCACTAGCTTGCTTCTGGCAATCTTTAGTGAAGTGTTTCAGTGGAGCAGGAGGCGTAGAGCCTTGTGAGTGCAGCATCCTCTCTTTCTTCTGAATCCCACTGCAGCCATGGCTGGGGTTTCTGAAATTGTAGGAGCCCAGTAGAAAGCTTCGCTGCTCAGTTTTGAGACCAGTCAACTCAAACATCTCAGGTCGGTGGTAACTTCACTTTCCTCAGCTAGATACCTCCTCCCTAGTCGGACGCTCACATGGGTTCATCTCAGTGCCATGGTGCAGCTCAGGAACTGTGAGATAAGGTGACTGGAGTGGATGGGCTTTTTAGGTTTTATTTTGTGCTTTTCAGCATCTTGCCTGAGAAACACTGTGTGCTGTGTGAAGTGTCATGCCGTCAGGGGAGAAAACAGGACTCACACCATCCTAATGGATGTCTGTTCAGGTCATCAGACTTGAATCGGAGTGAATGTTGTCTCCCCAAAGTGTGAGCAATTTGGTGGCAAATGGAGAAGAAAGCTGGGGTTTTCCTTCAGTCGCTGCTGGGCAGGAGACTTGCATGGAGAGAAGCATGCACTTATGGGCTTTGAATGCTAGCTCGGCAATATTCTTCACTCGTGAGAGCCTCATCCATCCTTCCCACCTTGAGTGAAGTGCCAGTTAAACTGCGAGACATTTTGGAAGAGCCATATGCCAGCTAGTCACTGACATGGAGGATGAGGACAGCTCATCGCTGCCTGGGTTCCAGTTTTAGCTCTTGTCTAAAAGTTCTGGGCTTTAGATGAATTGCACCTTGGAATCTGCGCTTACCCTCTTGTCATCTGGTCATTGTACTGTCTGTGCAGATATTCGTTTGTACTTTTGCAACCTAGTAGCATCCTTGGATGATTGCAGTTAAAGTGGGGTAGTATCATAATGTGAAACAGAAACTGACTTGTGAAACGTACTTTGGCTGTACAAGCAACTATACCATAACTCTGGACTTGTTTTAATTATTCAGGTATCACGAGCTGGTCACAAAGTACGGGAAGCTGGAGCCCTTGGCAGTCGTGGATCTTCGGCCACAGAGCAGCGTGAAGGTGGAGGTTCACTTCCAGGATAAGGTGGAAGAGATGTCGATCCGTCTTGATCAGACTGTGGCAGAATTGAAGAAGCACTTAAAAACTGTGGTGCAGTTGTCAACAAGCAACATGCTGCTCTTCTACTTGGACCAGGAAGCTCCTTTTGGTCCCGAGGAGATGAAATACAGCTCGCGAGCACTGCATTCTTATGGCATTCGGGATGGAGATAAAATTTATGTGGAACCTAGAATGAAATAGCCTCTTTTGACCTTGTGAGTGCACACACGTGCACACACATGCCCCCACACACCCACACACATGCATTAAGGAATTTTTGCAAGGTTTTTATTTCAGTTGGTTGGTTGAGGTTTGGTTGCGTTTCTGTAGCAGGTAATTTCTTAGCCCGGATGAAGTGCCCTGATCTGAGAACCATGCCCACCATCCACTGCAGGTGACCTTGAGATGACAACTGACTGCAGTGCATGTGTTTCAGTGTGTGCAATACCTTGATGTTTTCTTCGATGCTCCGGTATACTCGTGATTTGGCGCGAATGGTCAGTTGTTCAAGCTAAAAAATGCTAGGGTCCATAAGGGACAAGATAGCTCGGTGCAGAATTTGATCTGGTTTTTTCTTTTTCTAAATTTTTGGGGTTTTGGCTCCACCAGAGCACCCTTTGGCCTAGCTATCTGACTGTGGCTCGAGCTTGCCGAAGTATTTTTTGCAGCTGGGTGCTGTCTCAACCTTCTGTTGCGTTTGAGTTCACTGAAAAGATCTAAAACAGTATTCTGCTTGATTCAGAGCTCAGGTACTTAGTGCATCCACTTAACTCTACTGGTTTGGTTGGTATGAGTGCACAAAATGGGGGAAAGAAAGAGACCTTATTAGAAAGAAACAATTTATTTTCAAAACGCACGCTCTATATCCATGCTGTCCTATTCTGATTTTGGGGGAAAAAAAAGTTTTGATTTCTGTACCAGTCTCACACAGTGTCTACAACGCATAGCACTGGCAGTCCGGAGGCACAGGGACCCTTGCCGTGTGCGTTGCAAAGTGAATTTTGGAAGGCGGTGGATGGGTGTTGCGTTGGAAGGGCTTTTAGAGTAACAGGTCAAAAAGGGGTTGAAGAGCAGATTCCCCCCCGCTGGCCATGACTCATCCCTGCGATGCTGAAGGGATCCTCCAGTATGCACTTAACTTCATACCAGTTTGTACTGAAAGTGGAATGGCTAAAATTCCTCTCCTGAGAGAGAGTAAGAGTAAAGTTGAAGTTTGTGTTTGTTGCTGTTGCACCAGAAATGAAACCTAGCACTTTCCCTGGGGGCCCCTGGCTCTGGGGTCCCTGCTTAGGGTCCAAACTAGGAGAATGTGTTGGCTCAGATCAGTTTCTAGAAGATGAGTAACAAAGCAACTAGACTCACATTTATTGGAAAGCAGGTTTTTACTATCTATATTGGCTTGCCCCCACACGCACCTCATAGTCATCACGTGCTGCTGCTTAAATTAGCCCCCGTTTTCTACTGCAGAGCAGATTCCCTTTCTTGTGCAATGAAATCCTCCTTCCTTTGTATCCCTTGTTTTGCTTTCCTGTGTCCTCCCCTTGTTCCTCTGTTCCCCTGACAAGTTGAAGACTTTTCAAATTACCTAGGTACAAACAGCTGCATAAAAGTTTTTGAAGCTGTGCAGTGAGGTCTCTAGTTACATGTGAACTTCTGACCTTAATTTTGAAATGCTCCCTTATCCCCATATGCACTTTCTTTCCCATGATGCTTTTGTCCACATCACCAAGCTCCTTTTATATTCTTGGAGTTGTATATTTCTCGTCATATTTTACCTAGATTGAGGGGTGGGGTAGGATGGGGAGGGGACAAAGTATTATCTCATAGTCTTCAGGTTCAGGATGTGGGGACCATTCGGAGGGGAGTAGTTCCGCATCCAGAGTAATGATTAAAAATGGAAGGATTTAAGACAAGTTAATAATTTGTGCCTCATCCCCCTGCCAAAAATGTCAATCTCCTGGCCCCGTTGAGAATGAGCAATAGGAAATGGAGCAAGATTTGCAGTAGGTAGCGTAGAGGCCGCGGCACATAGATGCGGGGCCGTGGTACCTGTAAAACAAAAGAGCGGGGAGATGGCGGCAGTGTAGCATAAGATGATGCTTTTATAAGCTAGAGCTTTACTGAAGATGTATTTTCCATTTGGGCAGAGAAAGGCATTTGCTGCCTTATAGCAGAACTCTCAAGCCAACACTTCTGTATGATATATACATACATATGCATAGGAAAAGTTGTGTTTAATAAGATATTTTGTTATAAAACAAAGTTTTATGAAGATATGGTTGTTTAATATTAGAAGCCTATTTCTCCCCATGACCTCCAGTTTAAGTAGGTTATCCCTCAGTCGCGGCAGTGTCAGAGGTAAGCGACCGACGGGGATGCAAAAGTATCTCTGACGTAATTCTATAGAGAAGTAATTGCCTATGTGGGTATATTTATGGCATTGTAACTGGTATTAATGAGATGCTGTAACTGTTGACCAACTTCCTCAGCACAATTAAATGTCTCTGTTTCAGAGAAGGAAATAAACAAAGACCATTAAAGAGTTGAATGGGATGTTAAAGAAGACCCAAATATGTGCTTTTACATTTGTTCACCCACAAAAGGTTAGCCTGTCTGCAGAGGGAATGGTGCTGTCACCGCACCAGCTCCGAACTGTCCGTAAATCATGCTTTTATTTACGGCGGACCTCGTAGGAACTGGAAGATGGAAAAAGAGAACACCTACTGGCATACGAGGTCAACAAGCGCTATGCAGCTGCCGGGGATTTGGTGCTAACACCCAAACCGGCTCCCCTGGTCTGTTCAGGTCAGCAAAAGTCACGATATGAATATCACCGCCTTGCCACTTCATCGGGGGAAGGTTGTTTCTGGATGATGTTCTCAAGCCATTCACCTTCTGCACAGCTAGCAGAGCACTCGTGGGGTGGAAACCAAAAATCTCGGTTGGCTTCCCAAGGAGAAGGAGTCACGTCCAAAACCCAGGGACGGTTTATGCATCCATATGATTGACTTTGGAAAGTAGGGCCAAATGGCATGCCACTGATGTGGGAAAAATATCCCAAGTCGGCTCGCTTTCCTTTTGTAATGCCTTTTGGGAAAGGGTCTTGTATGTGTGCCATGTTGCTGCTTAACAGGGAACCATGTCTTGGGGAGAGAGGGAAGGGCTTTGAGCAAGAGAGGGGGTTTGGGACTAACGGTGGGTGCCAAGAATCCGGGAGGGTCCCAAGAAGGCTGGCGGTTTGATTTAAATCGATGCAATGTCAGGAGGGGCTGTGTCCCAGTGTTGCTGGCATATACCCGCTTTAGCAAAAGGTCCCTTGTTCTGTTGCATTCCTTTGAGAAAACAAAATAAGAGTTCCAAGCTTCTCTAGCTTTTGTGTCTTCTATCCGAGGGCTACTTTTGTCAAGAACTGTTTTGTTGTTCATGCTAGTTTGTGCATAAAAGTCTGCTGCGGGCAGTCTACACAGTGGGCAAAGCACCTGGTTCGGAAGGAATTAGGTGACAGCTATATACCAAAGTGTCGCACAGCTCCGTGTGCTGAGATTAGATGCTGTGCCATTGTGTTTTTGGATACATTCCTATTGAATATCCATGTTTTGACCAGATGTTTCAGGCGGATTGCTTAACTGGCGATGTTATGAATATGCATAGCGTGGCAACTGTCCTCCGCTCAATCGGTGGGATTTGTAACTCCCTTTCTTGGGAGTTGCATACATCCTGATGGCAGATGATAGTGTGGCCCGTGGCGGCTTGGAGCAGCTCGGAGGAGAGGCTCTCCGTCTGCCCTCACCTACTCAGGTCTGTAATCCGAAGAAACCGACGCGGTGGCTCTGCCTCCGTCAGTTGCTGGTTTTGCTTGTTAATGAGATTCTGTAGGTTCTGTTCCTGTGCAGATTTGAAAATGCAAACGAGGTGCTGAAAGCAGCCCAGAGGCTAAAATATGTATTCCTGGCAGCTGTGCCTCCCTCATTTGAATGTGGCACTTTTGTAGGCGGTTAGAGAGATGCCTTCCCCAGAGCAACGTTAGAGGGGCTTTAGCCATCTCAGGCCTTTGCCTCTGTGATTGCTTTTCTGCAGCTACTGGAAACTTCAAATATAATTTAAACATGAAGGTCTATTCTTGCTCCCTATTAATGATGCATCCATATGTAATTTTAAAGAAAAAGGAAGAACCGTAAGTCCATCTCGTTTTGTATTCTGGTTTCTCTCACGGGGAATATACTTCCCGCTCCCACAATTTGCCTTTGGTTTGCTCGCAGACTTAGTGGTGGAATTCAGGCCAAACAGGTAATTGGTTTGGATCAGTTCAATAAACTTATGTAAGTTTTTACACAAAAAAAGCGTCCTGAGTTTTGCACTTCTGTGTTTCCTGAAGCAAAACGTTTCCCTCTGTCTCACTCACACGCTTAACACAGACCTTCAGGAGAGTGAAAGCTGCTGAGATTTTTTTTTTTTTTTGTTCTGCTGACTGTTCGTGCCAGCTGTCTGCCCGTTGAGCTCAGGCACAGCCACCTCGCTTGTGCGAGATGCTGCTTGTCGAAAGGAGAAGTCACGGTGCTGGAAGACCTAGTCCTCTTCTGGACTGTATTTCTCTGTGGCAGCGACTCATCTCCGCTTCCAGGTGAGCAACAAGGCTCGAGCTTGCCCTGTTACCTGCTCTGTGTCCTTGGTGGGACTGGCCTTGGGGTTAAAATGAGTTTCGCCCTTGAGGAAGGGCTTGCAGTTGCTGATAGGGAGGGCAGTATGACCCATTAAAGCAGTAGTCATGGGCTTAGCCCATGCTGGCCTGCACAGAATGATCCTGGGGAGTGGCAGGAGGAGGTACGTGCCCCTCTGGATGAGACGCAGCTCCTGGGCGAACCCCTCGCCAAGGCATCTTCCCTGGTGTCCCGATCCAATATCGGGGAGGGTTCTTAAACGATCCCAAGAGCGAGATTAAGACATAAACGAGGTCAGATGCCGTACAACCTTCCAAGTTTTATTTCCTATAACAACTGATAATAGCGATAGGACAGAAGGAAGAAGAAAGGAAGAAGAGGCAGACCTAAGCAAGAAAACGGAAGAGAGATAGCAAGACTAGTTACCACCACCACAAAGCCAGCAACGTCCCGTTGACTCGGTCCCAATGCAGGTGATGGAGGGTCCGGGTTCCGGGTTCCAGCCAAAGTCTCAGTCCCAAGCGCTGCAGGTTTTCTTCTGTTGCTTTTCAGTTGCAGTTGCTTTTCAGGTGTTTTACAGTTTTTCAGGTTCTTGAGAGGGGAGTAGGCAGTTCTTTTATTGTCCCGGTCCCCGCAATTTCTCCGAAAAGTCCACCCATTTCCACAGAGCTCATTACCATACGCGCCACCCCGTGTTCCTCCATGGGCGCGTGCCCAGGTGTTCACGGTGGTTTCTTCACCTTGCTCGCGGGCAAGCAGAGCTTGGTAGGCACTGCTAGCTTCAGGTGGATACGGTGGTTTCTTCAGGGACATTTTGCGCGTACTCCCCCCCAGCAACAGGATGCTGAGGCTCTTTGCAGCAGCAATGTCGAGACAAACATTTCCAGCCAACACAGTCTCTTACACCTGGGCTGGCCTGGCTCCCTTGAAATGGGAATGTGACAAGGCACTGCCTGTGGTCGCTCTGTCGAGGTCAAGCAGCCAGAGACCCCTTTGTCTCATCTTTTAATGCTTGTTTTTTCTTGAGGTCGGGCATGGGAAGGAAATTTTCTTCTAGAAGATAAAAAAAAGAAAAAGTGGTTGGTTGTTCAGCTCCAATGTGCTCAGCACTGCATGATGGGAGCATCCCCTGCCAAAAGAAAATAGCCTAGAAGACAAAGTCTTCCCCAAAGAGACAGTGAAACCTAATCAAACTTCATCAGTGTAGACTTGCCCAGGACAAACAGGACCAGAATATTAAACTGACAAAGGAGCAGAGGGAAACCTATTTTCACCAGTTTTCTCTGTCTTACAAAACAGGATGGGAAGAGTCAATTGATTTTCCTGTGGCTGGTAATGTTTAAAATTTGTATGGGAGGGAAAGGAAGAGCCAGGGTGCATGGAGTGGCAGGCTGGAAGAAATATGCCCCCAGAATATCAGTCAGTGCTTTATAATCCCCCTGCCCTCCTCAAGTAGTGGTTGATTTAGAAAAGGGAAAAAATAAATTAAAAAAAAACAAAGAAGCTTCCTGCTAGCAAGGCCATGCTTGGAGGATGAAGAGAAAGCACACTCTGGGATTTGCTCTGGAGGCAGTGTACTGCCTGGTGCCCTGATGCACTAAAAGAAACTGCTGAGGTAAGATATGGCATTTTGGGTGTGAACTTACTAAACACATTTCTAGGAGCACCTGGGGTCCTGGAAAAAAAGTCAGGGCTTTTAGGTGGTTCTTGTTTGACTGCTGGCATTCCTGTCGCCTCTCCGTTCCTGACGAAGGGTGGGGAGTGGGTGTACGAGATGCACAGGACGAATACCTACATCCTAGCAGGGAAAACAGGTAGCAAAAGGCCCCCACCCAAAAAATCAGAAGGGAAAATCCTTCTTCTGCCAAGGTTGGGCTGGGTGGTTTTGTCCGTGAGTACGTGGCCATTTTCCGACGACGGACTGCTGGGGTTGGAGCACCGCCTGTGTTAACTGAGCCTTAACGCAGCCTGTAAAAGTCAGCTCTCTACTGGGGCTCTGCCAGTGGCTTCCTTTACACCTCGGCCCCTATTCTGCCTCTCCCTCTCTCATCTGACATTGCTGTGAATGAAATTAAAGCAGAGATCTTCTCTCAGGCTACAGATTGGGCTCGGAGGAAGAGCTTTGGTCTGTGTAACGCAGTTTGAGGCTTACAGCCTGCGAAGCTTTGGCAGGTACTGTTCTCCAGGGCTAGCGGTGCTCCTGCGCACCGTCAGCAAGAGTGTGTGGGAGCCGGCCCGTTTGCACGGGTGGAAACGTTCACCAAGCAGCAGCCGCCACCGAGTGCCAAGGAAAAATAAGCATCCTTGGTAGTTACTCAGCTCGGGTGGCCACAGGGCAAGGGCACGGAGGGGCAGGGCATCCTCGCTCAGCCCGTTATGTCCCTGTCCCGCAAGCATGTAATTGCACGCTTGTGGACAACACGTCTTCACCTCAGCTACACCTGCAGCCCACGGTTTTGGCCCTCAGGGTAGTTGTGTGTCTAGCAAAACCCGTGGACTTGCAGAGACGTGCTGCCATTAGAGGTGGAGGGCAGGGGTGATGGAGTTAGAGAAAAGACTGGGCTGTGGGCATCTGCAAGAGAAGGGAGGTAGTGCCAAGAGAGGACTTCAGCAGCAAACTACCCCGGCTGCTGTGGGCACCTGTGGGTGTGCCATGCAGCCCAGGCACCAGAGGCATGGAAAATCCCTGTGGAAACTGCAGGTTGTACGAGTGAAAACAGTAATAATGCTTACAGCAGTCCCCCAGTGAAACTCCCCACTGGCTCGAGTGAAAACGCCAGTGAGTCCTTCCAGAGAGGGTGGAAGCAGCAACAGCACTGAAACCCTCTCTGGCAGATTTGGAGAGAGCACACTGCACCGGGTAAGTTTTTCCTCTTCCACCTGTAAAAGCAGAACTAAGTTGCATTACAGAAAGTAGAGCAAGACTTGGATGGAAAAGTAACTCCATTTAAACTTTGGGGCACTGCCTTTGAACAGTGCTTTAAGCCTAGCACTGTTTAATGCTAATCCTGTAACATTATATAGATGGGCTTTTTTTTTCACTTACACAAAGGAGGAAGGGGCTCAATTCTTCTGAGAGCTGGTTTTTTTTTTCCTTCAGCAAAAAGCAATGCTGAGCAGCACAGCTCCGGCTCGCTGACATTTCCATCTGAATCCACCTGAAGGGGGTGAGCTTTTAGGGAAGAAAGAGGCTTCTCTCCCACTCCAGGCCAGAATCTGATCTCCAGATTAGCTTGCTGGTTATCAATACGGGCAACAGTTGTGATTGCAACTCAACACTCCTCCAGCCCTGGAACGGCATTGAAGAAAACGGACTTTTCAATTGCGAGCGCAAGGGGAGTGAGACATCATTTCAGTCATCAGCAATAATTGGCAAAGGAGGACCAGCATGCATTCTCCATTGACATAGGATTTCTCCCTGGTCTACCAAGATCGGTCTAAAATTTCAGACCGGATTGCTCCTCTAGTCTACGAAACAGGTTGGTAACTTTTTTTCCATACCTAAAAAATTGTATTTTTGAATGCAATATGGTAAGTAACGTTTTCTTTATTGTCTGTCATGTTTCCCAAGTGGTGACATTCTCGCTCTTGTTCTTGGTCTACCACAGTCTCCGCTAGTCATTGTCTGCCCAGTCTCTGCTAATGAATCCGCAGTGACTCAGATTTACAATCTATACAAAATTCTGTCGTCCTCCTTTCATCTTTCCAAAATAGGAAACGTGGTAAAACTTTTCCTTGGGGGAATGAATTTTTCTCAACACAGAACGCAGTTGCTGGAAGCAGGCTGTGGCCAATGTTGATGCGAGTGGCATGCTGAGAGGCAGTGAAGCAGGGAGGACCTTTCCTTCCACACTGTTTCACTCCTTCTGAGCTCCTGGTAATGGGAGTCAAGTGGAAGCGATGTGGGACAGACAACGGCATGTTCCCCGCTGTAGTCCCACGCTCTATG